CACTGCCGCCGCCGACGTGGTCCTCGCCGATAATTGGCGGCGGCTCGCCGGCCAAATTGCCGCTTTTTCGATATTATATGGGCGCGCCCTCGTCACGACACGCCGCATCGATAGGGCGGATTATCAATGCGCGACGTGCGAGGAAAACTTATTGCCCGCTCCGGTCCGGCCGATCGCTCGCTCGTGAGTCGCCGAGAGCGCTTTTAAGGACCTCTCCGCGTCGCGTCCTGCGCGCGCGAAATCTACGCGGTTCTCCGTTTCCGCGGACGCGACGTGACGCGTGGTATTCCCCGAGGACCGGTCGGCCGTCGTTAGGTGTGGTTAACTGAGCCTACGAGCGTTCGATAGCCGCCGGTGGCAAGGCCGTGTGGGATGCGTCACTTAGCGAGACGATGCTCGCCGCTCTCCGCTCATCGTTCGTTTCGCTCGTTGCCGCCAACTTTTCGCTTCTCCGCCTGCCGGGAGTTCCCACGGCGCGGCGTGTCGCGTTTGCGAGATTCGTGAGAAGGAAGCTCTCTCAGCACTTGACGTTTTCGAAAAAGTTTTCTAGACCGTTTTTTCGACCTCGTGATATTTTAATATTTAATTTTGTTTAATATTTTATTACTTTAATATTTTGTTGTTTGTTGTACGATTTTATTTTCTTCGCGTTTGTCGCACGTGGTGTGTTTAACGCTTTAAGACCGTATCGCACTAGCGATTCGCGACTGTCGTTTGTGGACGGCTGTCCATTTTTTCGAGTCGCAGCCGCAGTCGCGCAACCAATCACAGAACTCCGTATAATCACATGACGCGCTCTCGTCATAATCACATTTATTTAATAGTACGTAAAAGTCGGTGATCATTGGAATAAGGTTATATATATCTAGTGTTGTTTTATGTGTTACATATTTTTTTTTTAATGTCAAAACAATTTAACAAGGAGATGGAATATTTTATTTAGTAGATCTCGTAGAATGTAAACCCCTTCTATGGGATTGTTTTTACAACTGAATCTTCAAACATATCTGTATTCATCCGAAGGCATCTGTGCAAGAGAAAAACGGAAGAAGAATAGCATTGCGAAATATAGAGTATTTTCATAAATAAAAAATCATGCGTAACAAATCATTGTTTATAATTCATATACTCTATTTACCTACGAAATTTATTCGGATCCTCTAATTGTAATTCTAAAAAAAGGTCACGACGGCAACCTTGTTCTCTACTTCTCGCTATCCACGGTTTCATCCATATTTCCTGCAATGTCTTGCGATACTCCGTCTTGCGATACTCCGTAATTATAGCAAATGTCACCATTGCACATATCTCCTCTTTACGTCTCAATCGCATCAAATCCTTATTCGTGTTGCGAATGCTCTTGCAATGTTAACAGCATTTAGCCGCAGCCGCGGTCGCCAATCGCGAGTGTGGAATTGGAAAACAAGAAATCGCAGCCGCGAGTCGCTGGTGTGATACGGTCTTTATACGAAGCGCGCGTGCCTTCGGCGAATATCGCGCCGTTCACGGCGGACGATTCTCGGGTTGAAGTCGCCACGCCGCGCCGCGGAGAAGCTGAAGAGTCTAAAAGACTCCTCCGTGCGCACAGCTTCTCGGCGACTTCAGGGACTCTCGCCGGTCCCTTATCAAAGGCTACCAGCCCCATAGATTGACAGATAAATAAATATTCGTCGGAAACGAAGTATCCGTCCGCGCGGATAAGCGAAAAAAGATACGCGTCCAGATCCCGCGAGCTCTCGAGCTTTCAGGGATCGCCCCGTGAGAAAACAGCCCGATCGCGTCTCGTTGACGAGCTCCTCGGCGCGAATGTCCTCGCACGTGCTTATCGGCCGCGCATCTCACACGTGTGTGTGCGTGCGTGCGCCGCGGAACGCGCTATTATCGTGTCATTCAGCTCACCACCGACACCCACGCGACTTTGGACGCGTCGATCGATTACCCGGGTTTACGCGGGAAAAGATATCGCGCCGGAGATCTCCGGGCGTTTGCTGATAACCGTCGCCGTATCGGGCCAGGCCAGGCCGCGTGGACGCGAATATTATATATGCAAGACGCATAAATCTCGAGCGAGCGAGCGAGCGAGGTAACCGCGGCCGATGCCGCGACATGCGTGACTAAAGGCAGCCGCGCGCGCGCGCGCGCGCGGAGGAAATTCCTCGCGTGCTTTTCCGCCGAGCAGTCGTGGTTTATTGGCGGTCTCGAGCAGGTCGGGACGGGCGGGCGAGTAGAAAGGTGTCGATACCTTATCGGACACTTTATTTAATCGGCCCCGGGGATTTATGGTGGTTTCGCGTCAAGTAGTGTTGTGCTCCGTAAGAAGAGCGCGCGGCCTGTCGCGGGGAAAATTTCCACGCGCGTGTGCGTGCCAAACTATAAACGGCAGCGCAGTCACAGCAGCCGGCTCTCTCTCTCTCTCTCTCTCTCTCTCTCTCTCCCCCTCTCCTGCGTGCTGGCGCCGGTGGAGCGCGGCGAAATCCACGCGCGCGCAGCCAGGTCTGCGTTAATTCTTAACGCTTAATCAGTGCACCTTATCGTGTGCACCTCGGCTCTCCCGGCGCGCCCATTCACTCTCCGTCTCTCTCTCTCTCTCTCTCTCTCTCTCTCTCTCCCGCCCGCCGCCCACCGCTATCCTCCGCCGTCTCCAGCGAGGCTGGCAGGCATACCTTGTAAATAGAGGAAATGCGTTTGCCGCCTATCTGGCATCAAAGACGCCGACACACCGCGCCACGGTTTTATATACTTAATTTATGAACAATATGCACACTCGCGTGGAGACCCACCTACGTTCCGACCTCTCTCTCTCTCTCTCTCTCTCTCTCTCTCTCTCTCTCTCTCTCTCTCTCTCTCTCTCTCTCTCTCTCTCTCTCTCTCTCTCTCTCTCTCTCTCTCTCTCTCTCTCTCTCTCTCTCTCTCTCTTTATTTCTGTCTCCTCAGTCGCACCAGCTACCGCACTTTTTCTCCTTCTCTTTCTGTCTCGCGCGCGCTCGCCCGCCCGCTCGTTCTCTCTCTGTCTCTCTCTCTCTCTCTCTCTTTCTCTCTCTCTCTCTCTCTCTCTCTCTCTCTCTCTCTCTCTGCCGGCAAACACCTTTAAACGAGAGAAATCCGCGATAAGCGGTACCACGTTGGCCCTTATCAACCGTTGCACCGGTCGACGCGCTGCCACGACGGCAATTATCTCCCCTCCCCCGCCGCGCGCGCTCGCGCATTTCTCTCTACGCGTGTTCCCAATTTGATTGCCGTGCCGTAATTATGGAGCTTCTGCCGCGCTTTAGTCGCTTTCGTTGTCGTTATTGCGTTAGTTCATATTGCGCCCCTATATATATATATCTAAATACACACACACACGCACACATATATGTATATATATTATATTGTGTGCGGCCGCAAACGAGCGCGGAAAGCGCCCGGCTTACTTATCGGGCCGCAAGCGACGTGCGTGCCACGTCTTCTTTGCGACGCCAGCTCTCACTTTTCGTCGGCTATCAGCGGATTTTCGATCGACGATCAAGAGCGACGGCGAGGTGGGGGGGCGGGGCGGGGCAGGGGATCGTCGAGCCGATCAGCCAGCGGATTTTGCGCTGCGAAGCCGGCGGATTGCGTATAAATATATCGCGACAGAGGCATTGTGCCGACGCGATGAAACTGTCGTCGTAATCGTAATCCTTACTCGTCGAGCGAATTAATTACACACACACACACACACCCCCTCCCCCTCCTCCCCTCAGCTCCTCCTCTGTCGACGCGCGCACGTCTCGCGTCGAAACGAAAATCGGCCGGAAATTAAACTTCCTGCGCGGCTGAATTCCGACTGTGTGCGGCAAATTGAGGAATATATTCCCTCGTATTCCTAAGGATAATTGCAACCGCCCCGTGCGAATCGCCAGGCGGAAAAAAGCGGTTCGCGCGCGCGCTCTCGTTCCCGCTCGCTCGCTCGCGACGTGATTTTTCGTCGCCGCTCTCGGCGATGTAACGAACGGCAATCGCGTTAAATCGTTACGCCGCGCGTTTTCGCGAAAGGACGTCGGCGCTGATTAACGATTCGATCAGCGACACCATTTGGTACGCGCGCGCGCGTGCTCGTCGTCCGCCGAAATGCCCATAAATTTTTATCCGCAACGTCAACGCGCGCGCGCGCGCGCGCGTTCGCTCTCTTTGTTTCTCTCTCGCTCGATCACCTCACTCGGTCTCTCTCTCTCTCTCGCTCTCGCCTCCTCCTGGATTCACGCTCGAATCACGGCGAAATCAATTTCGCGGCGTTAATTAGCATCGGCCGATATAACGCGCGCCGCTGCATCGGGTTTAATTGCCGCTCGCATAATTTTTCGAGCGCGGGTAAACGGATTCCGCCGGTAGCGAGTCGCCTCGTTATAAAAATTCCCGGCGCGCCGATAGCATGTCGTTCCTACGCCGCTGGCTTTTATCGAGGCTAACTGGCGTTTTGGCGCGTTTTATTATATCGTGTAATGAGTCCCTGCGTCTCCTCTCGCTCTCTCCCTCTCTCTCTTCCTCTCTCTCTCTCTCTCTCTCTCTCTCTCTCTCTCTCTCTCTCTCTCTCGTCGCGTTGTGCCGCGCATTTCGAAGGGACGCCCCAGCGTCAGCCTCGTGAAGACGGGCGGAAGGGGCGGCGGAGGCGGGGGGGAGACAAAGCGGCTCCCCCGTAATGACCGCGATAAAATATGACGCGCCTCGCGCGCGCGCGCGCGCACTCTCGACCGGCTGGACCCGCAGGCCTTTATATACACGGTGCGAGTAAATAATCTGCGCGCGCGAGAATACCTCCGTGTCCGCGGCCTCTGCGATTTATCTCGGCCGATCGGCCGAGACTTTGCCCGCTAACGCGAGCCTCGCGCCGATACTCAGCGCGAGGCTCGCGACCCGCGCGGCGAAAATGCGCCACTCCCTCTTCGGGCAGGGGGGAATCTCCCGCGGTCATTACCCGCGAGCGACGGTCCATCCCGCTTCTCACGATTAACCAACCCCCTCTGCGTTTTCTGTTTCAGGTAAGTGCATCCGAGCGTTTGGCAATACCTTCCTCGACGACTCGCCAGCCGGACGCGCTTCTTCCAGCCCGCCGGGGTAAATACAATTGTTGATAACATTGATGAGCGCATTGTCGCGATAAGGGGCAGATAGCGTATCCTGCGCGCGAGATAAGCGCGACCGAGCGCGAAGGATAGGTCGGGCTTGCTCCAGTTTGTCGGAGGACTGCAGGTCAGGAAAGTTTTCTCTCTCCTTCGCTCGTTCCGCGTGTCTTTCTCTCTTTCTCTCTCTCTCTCTCTCTCTCTCTCTCTCTCTCTCTCTCTCTCTCTCTCTCTCTCTCCGTCCCTCGGTGCTCCCTCGCTGCTCTTCATGGGTATTAAGAGGTATTAAAAGTATAACCGGAGCGACTCGGCGGTAATGCGGTCGGGTGGCTTTGTCCAGGAGTCGATGGACTCTTACTTAGCCCCGGCATCGGTTCGCCGAGCCGTAATAGAACGAGAGGGCCGCTAGGGCTACGGCGAAACGCGCCCGCTCGCGGTGAGAAGGGTGCATTAGCCTAATCTGACGATCCTCTCGTGGGCTGTGAGAAGTATCGCGCTCGCTCGCTCGCTCGCTCGCTCGCTCGTTCGCCCCACAGAATCAATCGGCATCGCCTAAACCGACGCGTAACGTCCGGCCACGTGGGTGGTCGAGCGGCCGAGAGAGAGAGAGAGAGAGAGAGAGAGAGAGAGAGAGAGAGAGAGAGAGAGCGCGCGCGGTTTTCTCCATCGCCCCGCGTAAGAGCCTCTAAGTGCAATCTCCACTGCAGTTACGAGCCTCTAACCCTCTTCGGTGCATTCCAGCTCGCGCTCCGGCCCGAGCGTAAAATAGCGCCGCGAGAGCTCGATCGATGCGTGCCGCGCACGCAACGCGAGAGATCTCTCCGCGCCGAAGCGAGCCTTCAGCGGCCGACGCGGCCGCGGCGCGCGGAGGGCGCGACCATTGTCCGTCGGGGCGCCGTCCATTTTTTTTTCCGTCCGGGCTTTTCTCACCTCGCCGTTTGCGGGCGTGGAGTGAAAATTTTCTTCTCCCGCTCGATACGCGGCCATCTCGAGTCGGAATTAATGTTCTCTCGTCATTTGAATCACTTGTATAATGTATAGACAACACACTTTGTTTGTCGGTCATTCGCCGCGAGGACTCGCCACTTCAGATTATTCTCTTCAAGATTCGCCACCTTGAAGAGAGAGAGAGAGAGAGAGAGAGAGAGAGAGAGAGAGAGAGAGAGAGAGAGAGGGAGGGCCTCGAAAGCTCCGAGAAACGGCGCTTCGCATGACTTTCGCGCAAGACGCGTACATTTTCTCAACGCTGCCTCGCTCGCATCGCGGCCGCCATCTTGGATTTGGAAGTTCCTTGTCGAACAGAGCCCCAGCGCGACGAGAGACCCTTTGAAAACCCAAGCTTGGAAATATTCGAGCAGCCGAGATAGCGAGACGTCGGCCCGCCGCGCCGGCTCGGTCGACGGGTTAAATAGGGATAGGATTACGACTCGTCACGCCGCGAACACTTCGCAAAGCGCAAAGCGTCGTCGTCGAGGTTTCGACGTTTCGTGTTCGCACGACTCCTACCCGCATTTCGTCGTTTCCGTCGCGCCTAGCCGCGCGTACGACGGATTTTCACGTGGTACCGCGAGAGCATCAGCAGCAGCAGCGGGGGCCTCGACCGTCCTAATCTGACTAAATCATTCTTCCCCCGTATATCCGACCGGCTGTGAGAAGTATCGTGTTCACCCCAATGGACGTTTAAACGGGCACAATAGGACTGCGATTCGTCGACGGTCGAGGGTGCGCCCGCTCGCTCTCTCTCTCTCTCTCTCTCTCTCTCTCTCTCTCTCGTCCGAGCCACAAGCAGAAATAATAACTCGTGTAATACTCGGCTGCACGCCGCGCACGGGCCCACCCCACGTATTAAATAAATATAACGTCCGCGTAATATAGCCGTTATGGAGGAGAGAGAGAGAGAGACAGAGAAAGAAAGAGAGAGAGAGAGAGAGAGAGAGAGAGAGAGAGAGAGGAGGCGCGGGCGCGGTCGACCCCGTTTGCACCCCATCAATTGCATGCGGTTGTCTATCGCCCCCCTCCCGCTCCCCCTTATGTCCTAGCCGCAATATAAACCACTATCGCGCGCGGCCGGGGGTGGAAGTGGCGGCGGCGGCAATGGCGGTGGTGGCGGCGGTGAATCGTCACGCAGCTGCCATACCTGTGTCTCGTTTAACGCCGAAATAGTGCCGGGCAAATAGTCACGTGCGCCGGCCCCAATTGGATTTGTTCCACCTGTTATGCGCCGTGTAAAGTACGTTTTCAAGTGCATGTGCGCGCGCGCGCGAGAGAGAGAGAGAGAGAGAGAGACAGATAGAGAGAGAATTGCGTTGCGATCGTCGCGATGCGCGCGAGGGCCAAGAATGTCGCCAGATTCGCAGCGTCGGGCTGAATGTCGCAACACCGTGCAAAATTGCGAGAGGTCGGACGATTCGAATCTCCGATTTCGGGGGGGGGGGAGCGAGTCTTAAGCGTGAAGATGAGCGCAGGCAGGGCGGGCGCGGAGCGAGTTTCCCTCGGCGAGGAAGCGTCACGTGTGAGGCGCTCTGCGACGTGTCGCGTCGACGTACAAATAAATTGGACACTCGCGGGGATCGGCGAGGGCGCGATTGAGCGATCCCCTTGCCCGGGCTATCTTCCCCCTGTTTGTCGAAAAATGTCCGCGCCCGTAGATAAGACGATACGCCCCGAGAGCGCGGCGGGCGCACCGAGCGAGGGGGCTGGCCCCCGCTACGTGACTTCCGTTTTCCGTGTTTATTCGGGGCTATCACGAATTACACACGTCGGCGAGGAGAGACGCGTTCGCACCCCACTAGTCATTGACTGCCACTTGATCCCGGGCGAGCGGGTCAGGGTCGGGCGCGAGGAAGAGTCCGCGCGAGTCGGGGCGGAAATCGCGCGCGGCGGCGGGGTGTCAATGTCGGTTGGCCCATTCGTCGGCGTGATTATCCGTGGCGATCCATAATCCATGATCCGTGAATGGGCGCCCCGATATAAATTCGCGCTCTTTGTCTCCCTCTCTCTCTCTCTCTCTCTCTCTTTCAAGCTGCCCGAGAGAGAGAAAGAGAGAGAGAGAGAGAGAGAGAGAGCCGTTTTCGCCGTCTGCGGGCCCCCTTGCTCGGAATATGAATATAATATCGCAACCCCGCCACTTACGAAATGATTTATCAATTGAGCGCCGCCGAGCCCGGGGTACTGGTGTTGAAATATTATAACATCATTCCCCACGGCTCACCCTAATATTATCCCCCCTGGCCGGCCGCCATTAACATAACAATGTCGACCTAATTGCGGCCTAATCGGCGCCACAGGGCGAAAGCCGGACGGACGCGGTGCGGTGTCGGAGCTCTCTCTCTCTCTCTCTCTCTCTCTCTCTCGCTCTATCTCCCCCCCCCTCCGTATTTTATTTCTCTCCCTTTCATTTGTTTCTTTATTCTATCCGCCGATCTTATCGTCGCACGGATTATCCGCATTACCGACGAATAATTGGATCCGCTTCGCGAGGCGACGCGTAATTATCGGCGCGCTTCAGGTCTGAAATTTCCTCCGCAGTTCGCAGGTAGCTCGACACGTGCGTCATCGGTCGAGTGTCTCGTGAGCGCCGGAACCTGTGCACGGAAGAGAAAGAGAGAGAGAGAGAGAGAGAGAGAGAGGAGAGGAGAGAGCGAGACGGCGCGACATGGAAAAGTGCGATAATGAATTTCCTTTGAGGCGGCTGCCGCGCGTGTGCGGGCCGCTCGGCTCGGGACTTTGATCTCCGCGATCAAGCATGCGAATGTTTGTGACGTTTTCGCATCCTGCGATCCGCGAGCGGACGGACGAGCGAGCGAACGCGCGCGAGAGGTACCGAGCGCCGCGGCGGAGAGAGAGAGAAGTCTCGGCGTGAGTTTGCGGTCGCGACTAGAATCCGCGCTTGCGGATTTTTACCACGACTGTTCTTTACTCCTCCTCGTCCTCCTGCTCTTCGCCCCTTGATATCCGTCTTCATTTGTTTCTCCTCCCGCGGACCCGGGAGAGACCGCTTACCGCAATTCCAGATGATACCGCGGCGTGGCCACTTTTTCCTGCACCGCCGCCAATCGCAATTCCCCGCTGTTTTCCCCGTCCGGCTTGGCGCACACGGTCGATCCCGCGCGCGAAGTCGTCCCTTCCGACAATTTGCCGAGGTCGCTGGCCCTCCTCTCGCGCGCGTGAAGAAGCGCGCGCGCGCGCTCGGAAAAAAAATAATAACGCGGCGAAGAGCGGAGGAGGGAGGAAAAAGAGGAGATATATTTCCAGCGGCGCGAGGAGGATCGCCGCCGCTCGGTTTCGCGCGGAGATTTGCATGGAGTTGCGAGCTCGCTCTTCCTCGCGTTTCTTCTTCTCGTCGATCTTCAGCTTCTTCTCGCGACACTTCCCTCGACCGATGGAAACTCGCGTTTCGATATTTCTGCCAATCGAGCACTTTGAAAATTGGATATCGAAATGCTCTCCTGGCCAGTCTGTCTGGGGATTCCATTGAATGGTGAGCTTGAAAATCTCTAAGATTCAAGATGGCGGATGTGACCTCCAACGGTAGGAAAATATGAAGAAATTATACACAAGTTTCTAGGTTTTTAACGTCGAACTCTCTTGAACAGCGAATTTTGAAAGAAAAAATCGAAACTCGCAAACTGAATTTATTTCGGTATTTTTTTTTTTTTTTTTGTTTATAGACTTCGGATGAAAATTTAATGTATTTCCGCTATGTAACGTTCTTCGTAGCAGAAGAGACGTCCGCTTTTATTCGGGCAGAGTAAAATTACGACTGCAGTCGCCATTTTAATGACGACACTACCCAGCTTTGGGAAATCCGCTCTAGGCGCCAGTTCAGCGTCAAGCGTGCGTACGCGAGCAGCTCGAATCTGACCGGTCGTCCAACTTCCGGCTACGTGCCTCTCTTCTCTCTCTCTCTCTTTTTCTCCTTTTTTAATTAATATTTCTTATTTGTAATGTCTGCCTACGCGCTTATCCCAGAGCGCTCAATAAATGACGCTTCTCTCTCTCTCTTTCTCTCTTTCTTCGCGCGCCCGTCGCCGTAAAACAGCGGCATCGCGCCATTTCATTATCGCGTTATTATTTTAATCTTTATTAGCGGTGCGACAAAGACGCAACGCGCCGGCCAATGTCACGTCGGTCGACAGCCTCGGT